CTTTCATACCTTCTATAAACTTCGTGATTGTCTCGCTCGGCATCAGCGTAAGGCGCCCAATGCGTAGGCGCAGATTCATTGCCTTCTCGATCCGAGTTGTTGGTTGTACCTTTAATTACAATATTAATCATTTTTTACAATTTACTGCTATACTCAGACTCTTAGTATAAAAGTTTGTAACTTAAGTAAACATCAAATGACAGAGAAATTTTATAAATTGTTTTTTCGTTATAGGCAACGCCAAGACATCATGTATTATTCTTCTTGTCAATTTTTTTTCCTTACTAATATTATAAATGCGAATTTTTAGATTTATGGATGGTTGTTTGTTTGAAGGTATCTCCAGAACAGCTGAATGGATCTAGCTGAAATTTGGCATAGATGTAGAACATAGTCTGGAAGAACACATAGTCCACTTATTTTTTTGTTTCTTGCGGACAGAGTAGCGGACAACAAGCAGTATATATATATAAATGTGTATGTATTGTACTCACAGTCTTGCGGCGGCGATGTGTCTGCGGTGTGCGCGGGGTGTGCGGGGTGGGGGTGCGCGGCGGGCGCGGGCGGGGAGTGCGCTGAGGGCGGGGAGGGGCTGTCGAGGGAGATGACGCCGCACGCGGACGCGCACGCGCCCGGCGACCGGTACCCGCTCGATGACACCGCCTCCGCTGTTACACAACACGATCAAATAATATAAACCAATAGCACAAAAATAATGCTTGTAAGTTTGATTTTGATGATTTTTTTTCATTTACCTATCTTACAAATATTTAGATAGATGGATGGATCTTTGTTTGAAGGTATTTCCAGAACGACACAACGGACGAAAAAATTAAGCAACATAACGATTCAAATTAACGTGTCTTACCGTTTGAAGATGAGTAGTCGTCAGCCTTGATATCGGCGGGCGGCGTGTGCTTGGGCTGAGGCACCTTCCTCTTGAGCGGCACCTCGTCCTCCGAGTCGGAGGTGAGATCGACGAGGGCCTCGGTGGACTTTGGCGTACGGCCCTCCCCCACCGCCGCCCGCTTCCCTCCTCCTGTGCCCTCTACTGGTATTATTTCTGGAAAAGGATTCAATTTAACATTTTTGTTCCAACTTTGATAACCCCCGCACGCATCAGCTGCAGGCGCATTCCAAAGTTTTTCAGTGAGTAAATAAAAAAAACAATAAAATAATTTGCTCTCGTTACGAATAAAAACTTTATATAATAACAAATAATGTAAGTAACTTAGAAAAACAGAAAATAAAACACAAGATAAGATACAGTTGTATAAAACCAACATCTTTGTACACTGTCAAGAGATATGCGAATCCCCCAAATGAGGTATAGTACTTTAGCTCCACTTTTGTCCATGAGATGAGATAATTTTGTATATGACTATTTAAGAGCTGGTACCTAAGTCATCAGGTATGAGAGTGACGGGCTCCGGCAGCGGCGCGGCGGGGAGCGGGGCGCGCGGGGGCGGCGTGTGCGCAGACCAGCTGCCGTCCGCGTGCAGCTGGATCTCGTTGCACTCGCTCGACAGCCGCGCTGACGTCAGCACCTCCAGGAAGTACCTGCGTAATCGTTCAAAATTTTAAAATTCGAGAGCTGAATAATAATAAAAAATTTCTGGTTAACATTTTTCCAATTATTTCTCATCCCATAGAATCAAGTTTACAATTATAATTCCACACATTCACATAATTATATATATATATATATATATATA